GGAGCAAGGAAATGAGAAAAGCCTTCCTCACCGAGGGGACAGACTCCAACAACTGGTTCATTTAATGCCCAACCCCGGACTAAGGAACCTCCTCAGCGAGCCACTGAGGCAGGGGAAGCCTGGAAATCGCTTTTGCAAGCGTTTACTCAGCGTTTCCACGGAGGATACTGAGCCTTTTCTCGACAAACCGCGCACAATTAAAGGGCTGGTGGGGGACCCGGGGGGGGCAGAGCCCCCCAGCCCCCCGGGCAGCGTCCCAGAGCAAGCCCGGCTGAGGGGAAGGAAAGGGGACGGAGTGAGGCAGGAAAGGGGATGGAGGGGGAACATCCCCCCTCCGCCTTCCCCATCCCCCCGGCCCCTTCCCTTTCTCCTCCCCGAGCCCTTTCTCCCTGCTCCCCCGCCCGTCCCTGTGCTCTGCCTCCTCCTCTCCGTCCCCGCGGCTGCCCGCGGTGTCGCCCGGGCCGCGGGTTGGCCCGGCGCACTCACCTGTCCCTGAGCTCCCCTCAGCTGTTTACCACTCCGGGCTCCCTCGGCCCACAGGGCGCCGCCATCTTGGCCCTGCCTCCCCCTCCCACCGCGGCGCTTCGCCCCTCGGATCCCTCCGCCGCCAAACCTAGTCCCGCCTCACCGCCTCTCTCCCCCGCCGGCCTCCCGCCTCCTCTCCCCGTCCTTCCCCGCCCCGCGCGTCCCTCCCGCCTCACGGGAGTCTCCCCGCCGCGGTGCGGGGGTGAGCGGGGGACGGGGGGGTGCTGCCCGCGGGCGGGTGTCCCGCGGCGGAGGGATCTCGGCGGGGTGGGGGGAGCGGTGCGGCCCGGTGGAGGTCGCGTGATGCGGGGGGGGCGGGGCCGCGCGCGGGCGGTAAACAAGGCCCGGCCTGAGGGGACGGGGCCGGCCGGGGGCACGAATGGCTCTCGGAGCTCCCCTTTGCTCGAAATTCCGCCCGAAAAGTGCCCTGGAAAGTGCAATAAATGCCGATAAAAAGGGCTCGGAAATCCCGCTGTGTGTGTGCGGAGCGATGCTGACGGGACGGGGCGCTGCGAGTCCCACCCAGAGCACCCCCACCTCCAACCCCGGGCGCGCACCCCAAATGTCATTGATTTTACTCGGTGAACGTTCAGAGCTTGTTTCGTTCACCCTTTTTTGGGGAGGAGGGACTTACTCGTCCAGGCCACACACCGCAATTCTTTTAAATTTCTCCTCTCTACCGTGTGGCAACCACGCCACGCAAAACGTTCCATCCTTTCTTTCGACACGGGGGTTAATTTTTCCCCTGAGGAAAACGCAGAGTAGGAAAGAAGAGTGGAAATTAGCACGGGGAAGGTCCTGCAGCGTTGGGGTTTGCGTGCAACAGGTTCCCAACTCCACGTTTCAATGCCAGCACTGGTGGGATCTCTGTGGTTTTCATCCCCTGAGCTCAGTGGGGAGAAAAAGCGCTGCTAATCTGACTCTGGAGTCCCTACGAATTGTCCCCAAATGCCAGTAGGAATCACAAATTTGCAAGGTGGAAACTAGGTGTAAGGAAAGAAGAAGAAGGAAAAAAACACCCCAGATTAGAGCCCCATCAGTTGATTTTTAACTCGCAGCAGCAGTTTGTGTTTCCCAGCTCTCATCCCTGCAGGGCTGAGATAGTTCCTTCCCACTGCACCTGCGATGGGTCATCCTGCCTCGGGATGAGATAGAGTTCCTTGGAGCCAGCATATTTTTAATCCAGTCCTGCCTCGTGCGTGGTAATTAATATTTATTACAGCCTGGACTGAGTGATGGTATTTTTTTTTTTTTCCCCTGCTGTGCAGGAGACATGTTTGTTTAATCTGCCACAGGAAAGGGTGGAAATTAGGATGAGCTTCAGAAAAGAGCTGGAAGCAATTAGTCGTGTTATTTTACTGGGATTTAATTGTTGTAACGTTCAAACTGATGAAGAAAACCTGGATGCTGTAGCAGGGGTTTGCTGCTGGATTTGAAAGAAAAAGCAGCTGCATTAGAGTGGATGTGATGTGCTGTAATTAACCTGTTTATTCTTACTGAGCTATAGATTTAAAAATCTATTTCATTAAGATGCACAAGAGCACAGGACATGCAGGAAGAGCTCCCAGCAAGGCCCACAATTAAACTGCCCTTGTGTGCAAGCACAGCTCTGAACATCCCCCATGGCCCGTGTGGGTCAGGGCCAGGACAACCCTCTGGGAGCCCAGATAAGCCCTCTGTGGCTCTCCCTTCTCTGCTGATCCTGAAATGAGAAGAGACAACAGGGAAAATGATATAAACAGGAAGAGCATAAAATAAGAATGGCCACACGGGGTCAGCTCGAAGGTTCTTCCAGCCCCAAATGGCACCTCCAGCGCTCTGGGTTTGTAATTCAAGCCTGTGGAAATCACCTTTCAGTGGTGATTTCAGTGGAGAGGTGATCAGTTTAACAGCAGCCAGGGACAGGAATCCAGGGAAGAGCAAGAACACAGGTCAAGGTGATCACTGACTGCAGTCCCATCCTCCACAGGAACTCCTGAAGTAAAATAAAGGGAGGAGGGGTGGGTGGGAGCTGAAGCAGAGCCAGCAGTGTCCCCATCTCCCTTCAGGCATTCCAGTGCTAACAGTCAGAAATGCCTGTGCAGTCTGTGCACATCATCCCAGGGGTCAGCTGGTCTGCAATTCCATCTGGGCTGTGTGAGCCGGTGGCTACCTGGGGAGGCAGAACAGCTGGTACAGATGTTACTGCCACTGGAGATGGAGTCATCCTTCTTTTCCACAGGACTGTGCCCAGTGCTCTCTGGAAAACAGCTGGTCGGGAAGGTTTATGAAACATAAAGTCATGGAAAGGCCTGGGTTGGAAAGGACCTTAAAGATTTCGACACAACTGCTTTTCTAGAGGGTTTTTTTTGTGTGGTTGACTTGCTTTTACTGTCTCCACTTTAAGGCCCTCAACTCTGCAGCCATTTGCACTTGCTGTGGAGGGGAGGTCTGTGCTCAGGGGTGCTGGCAGGAGCCGGCTCTGATGTTTCACAAAATAACATCTCGGCCCTTTCAGCAGCTTGTCATTTTGCTGTTTTGTTTAATTCCTGTAACTGTCCTCATAAGGAACCCTGAAGCTGCAATGTCCATTTTGGGTTTCTGTTACAATGGCTTGTTTTTGTAGCGGGAAATGTAATCCCTCAAATGCCTGTGTTTAAGGGGATGCAAATCAGCTCGCGAGCACAATGCCTTGGGAACGTTTCTTTCATGCAAAACCCGGCTGGATAAATAAAGAGGGGAGGAGGGAGAGGGGAAAGGGATTGTTCGCTTCTGTAAACAACGAGAACTAATTATGCTCGGTAAATGACGGATGGGTTGAGATCAAAATCTGAATCTTTCTCAATGCGGGTGAAATCCTCGCTCCTATCTCGGAGTTGCATCAAGCCCCGTTGCACAGCCTTGTCCGGTGCCGTGGGGCAATGACACTCGGGGCTGTCCCGGCAGAGGGTGGTGGGGACAGCGGGCAAAATCCCTCTGCTGTCCCCCTGGAGTGTCTCCTCTCCCTCCGGGAAACACCAGCCTCCCTGCGGAGGGGCAGAACAAAGGGTGTCGCTTCCTGGCGTTCACCGCCCTGAGCTGCAGCAGGAAAAGGGACCCAACGGAGTCCCGGGGTAACGCAACCAACCGTAGGAAGCAGCGAAAGGCGTTTGACAGCTCGCAGGGAGCGGGAAAACTCCATCTCCTAAGGCATTTTCCTGCTGGTGGTGTCCCGGTACTCGGCACTCAACAGCTGCGTGTGCACTTATGGACCTCTGGAATTACAAACTTCTTGGAAGGCACCTTGGCACTCCAAGCCCAGAGGGAGGGCAGGAGGGGACGTGGAGAGCACACCACAGCTCATGGCACTGTGCACCTGCACGGGCAGGAAGGTTGGGATAAGTAAAGAACAGGTGAAATCAAGGAATTACTCCCCTCTCCTCATCTGGGGAGATCAGCTCTCCTTGTTTGTCCCCGAAAAGGAGTCCTGCTCAAGGATTCTGAAAGGCAAATCTGCGTTCTCCAGCACCTGTGCTAGAGAACAGGCTGGGAACAGCCACCCTGCCCCTGCTCCATCCTCCCTCCTTCCACCTGCCATTCCAGGGGGCTTTGACACTCAGTTATCTCCCATTTTCAAACCCATTCTCAAACCTTTTTTGAAATTTAAGTGATAGAAGTGCAAATTCTTATTATTGCTCTTGAAGAGCTTTTTTGCAGAGCTGTTGTTAATGAGCTTGCTTAATGAGCTTTCTTAAATCTATATTTATACCCTTTATACAGCTGTACATAGACAGAGCAATGCCTGAAATATGTGTGGATGGCACACACATATGCCTCGGAAAATGAAGGCTGATTAACACACATCTTCTTTGGTTGTACTGTGCAAGTATTTGTTCCTTTCTCCTTGGAAATTGGAGAGATAAAAGATCCATTCTGGAATAAAATAATTCTGTGCATATGTGCTCGATGGTTTTGTTTATGAGCCTGAAGTATGTGAGTGAGTGAGTGAGTGAGTGTGTGTGTGTGTGTGAGACAGATGGTGTGTCTGTTTGTGAAAGATATGATGTGGCGATGAATGTGTGTAAAAATACAGGGTTTTAAGGGCTTTTTAAAAAAAAAAAATAAAAAGACAAAATAAATGCCTGCTTGGTGCCTTATTTCCCTGTGTCATGCTCTTTGTCAATATGACAGAAGGAGTATCCCTGCAGAAGGAGAAGCTGCCCCTGGAAGTGGAGGGTGCTGCCCCCAGGGCTCCGAGCTGGGCACCGTGAATTCTCTTCAAGTTTTCAAAGTCCTGGAAAGTTTTGATAAGCAAATACTTTCTGGGCTCTGCTTCTCCATTGGCTGTTTCTTCACCGCCAGATTTTGACACAAATAATCTGATTGAAAAATCAGGGAGGGGAACAGGGGCAAAAAAAAAAAAAAGGCAACAAACCAAAACCAAGAGAGAGAGAAAAAAGGAGAAGTATCTATTTCAGCAGACTGCGAGCAAGAGAAAAAGTGGAAGAGGAGTCCTGAGAGAAGGCGACGTCCCGCTGGTCTGGGGAGATTTTGAGGCGAATCCAGTAAAGCAAAGTCCCCCAAACAGGTGATTGATTTATTCTTTCAACCACTTTTATTTCGATTGTTCTCCTCATTTCTCTGATACCTTTTTTTCTAAGCTTTTTTTTTTTTTTTTTTGCCTTCTTCTTTGCTTTTGTTTGCAAATATGGGACATGTTCCACGGTTGTCCTGAGGATTCTTTTATGGCAGCAGTTCACCTGACTCGTTTGAATTAAACCTTTTAAAATTATATACCATAGAAACCTCTTAAAATGCTGTGCCACGCACTTCACTCTCACGTGTGACAGCGTGCTCACATGTGAGTAGAACAGAATGCCAGGGATGTGACAGTGGTCTCAGGTACCTGAGTCCCAGCAGGCTCCATCAGCAGGAGCAGTTTCTGGGTGCAGAGTTTTGTACTTTGCCACTGAGGAAGGGGCAAACTGTGTTTTCCCTTTTAATTGCTCTTTTGCAGGGCCAAACCTTTAAATTCAGAGAGCAGCACACCTCTGCTCACATCACCTGTGCCAGTCTTTCCAGATGACCAATTCAGCCTCTCCTGTTCAGAATTTTTGCTTCAAATCTCCTTTTTATTAATTTTCCGTCCTTTTGAAGTCGAGGCTGATCAGTGTAACAATTTTTAGCATATGGGATTAGCTATTTATAGGCACTTCTCACATACCACCAGATTGATTCAATACATTGAGCAGGAGAGCAAATGATTTGCAAGTTCATGAAGTGCATCTATACATTAAAGGGGTGTAGAATTTATTAGATTGCACTGTATAACTCCAAAGTTTCCTAAAGCCAGTGGCATTCCCAACAGCACCGGGAGCTACAGGAGGATCCTAAAGAACAAATGATGCCATTATAGTCTAAACAGGGTTTTTTCCAGCTACTACAGATATACCAGCATTTCTGTTCCCACTATCATTTGCTACCCCTGCCATAATGTCCATTTGCCCAGTCTCACCACAGGAATTAAAAATCTCCTGTTCATTTTTCCACTCTCAAAAAAGCCACATTCAAATGACTTGCCCCAAGCGCATTCTACACTGCAAGGATAGACTTGTGAAAACATGATTAATTTTGTAAAGAACTGAAATTCTTTCATATTTGACTTATTTAAGAGTCAGTAGTCCTTAAAATATCCTTTTTTTTTTTTTTAAATTTTATTTTCTAATTTTATTTGATTTGGACTCTTAAAAGTTTCAGACACCTCGTGTTTTGGTTTGTGCGCTTTTTTCTGCAAAAAATAGTCTTTTTAAAGAGAAACTATTCTGTATTTTTGCCAGAAAGGACAGCAAAAGAAGCAATATTGAGATATAAGTTAAGTAATGGAAAGGAAATAAGTCTCTTTTAGCCTAAAACTTTATTCACTCATCAACTTACATGAAGATACATATCAGTTGCTAGTTAAAATTAAGTGTTTCTGCCGAGTGTAGTGAGACGAAGTGTTTAATCTCTACAATTACCTTGTAAATCTGAAAATGGAATTACTTGAATTTAGAAAAAAAAAAGCAAGTTCGGCTTTAGAATGAAACTTTTGCTGCATGTTGGGTCCCTGATTCAGTGTGACCCAATCCTGCAAACACCTGTCCCCACTGAGGGCTCCACAATCTAATTCAGTGAGAATATTAATTTCTTCTAAGTGATACCAAAGGACTCACTCCTGTGGGTTCAGGCGCTGTGAGCTGCTGTGTAACCAAGTGGGAGATGGAGCTTCACGAGGGACCCGGTGAAATTCGGATCCCGGAGTCAGAAACCACCCCCTAAATTAAGAACCAAACCCTTTTCATTTGGTTCTTTCCCCGTTTGCAGAGTTTCAGCATCACATTAGAGATTTACGTGGAATACTCTGTGAAAATCCCCAGAGAGCATCACTGAGGATGAGGGAGTTTGGGGTTTGAACACAGGGGGGGGACACAAATGCTGGGTCTGCTTTCAGCTCTGACTGAGCAATTTATAACTGCGAAAAGAAACCTTTCTAAGGCGCTTCAGGTGAGGTTCCCAAAATAGTGAGGCAGCTTTTTTTCCCTTGAGTCCTGCTGTCCTTTCCTCAGGGCACGTTATAACATTATTATACAGCTGCATGAATGGCAAGCAAATAAGAATGTCACTTGTAGCTGGCTACTGGCTTTATATCCTATACTGAGTTTTAAAAAACAGCCAGGACTCTTCCATTCTGGTTGGGAGCATCTGCCCAAGCAATGATCTCTCCTGTGCACTTACCAGTCCAGGTGGAAACTGGTGCCACAGGGGCTGAAAGGAACAGACTCCATAATAATAAATTTTAATTTTCAGCAAAGGGCTGAAGCCAAATTCTGTTGGAGGCTTCACTGACTCTGAGACGTGGTGGGATCTGTTGTCCACAGCACTGCTTTCCCCTGGGAATACAGTTGGCCTTTAGGAGCAGGTGATCACTTGCTACTGGTAATCTGGAGTTTCAAGGAAAGACAGTACCTCTTCCTCTCACAATCTGTGCCTGTAGCTTTCCTCTAACCTGGTTGTGTGCATCACAAACAGAGAGCAGTGCAGTTGTTAATTAACTCTGCTTTGGGCTCCCAGTTCCTGTTTTGTTGTTTTTTTTTTTTTTTCCTCTGAAAAGGGGTGGGGGAAGGTAACTTCCTTTTGCAACGTTCAGTCCATTAAAGATCAGCACAGGCCCTTCTCAGCAGTCACAACACTGATCAAATTTGACTTTTCCATATGCTGGGGCAAACACATCCAGAGAAGTCCTGTTGATTCATGTGCCTCTGCTTCCAACCACCACCAGCAAAGCAGGGCTGTCGTGGGCTTGGTGTATAGGCACTGACACAAAACACTGCAGTGCTTGAGCCACCTGCCTCCAACCCTCTGATTTACCTGCCTAAGCTGTCCAGCTACGGCCAGAGGATTCTCCAGCTGGAGGGAGGGAGAGTGACTCTTCCAGCAGCACTGCTGGATGCAGGGTGTCCCCTGCATTCAGAGTTTCCCGCTGCCAGAGCCTCTTGCTCCACTGTGTGAGGAAGCTCAGAGAAATTAACTGACTAATTCAGGCAGAGAAACCCACTGTCTAAAGCTTTCTGGTATGAATACCCTCCATTGTGGGCACAGTCCTGCCCCACCACATGGGAAAATCCCTCTGACAGGAGTGGGAATTCCATGTATAAAGGGTTTGTGGCAGGATTTCACCTTGGGGCACTGTAATGTCCATAAAGCAGAGTGTGGCTCCATGCACAGGTACCTCACCTGGGGCTGATCCTCTGAGCTCAGCTCTGCTCTGGAATGTGAGTGGCACAAGCCAAGCAGAGCTGCTGAAGGGTTATACCCACTGCAGGACACTCCTGGAGCTATTTCTGTGCCTGCAGCTCTTCACTGGGCAGACTCTTTACAACACTTAAAATGAACCTCAGTAGAGAGAGCAGTGTCCCTTCCCTCCAAGTTCTACTTGTGGTTCTTCCTCAACACTGTTTTGTCCTCTTTCTGAAGAGAGGACTCACTGCTGACTCTTCCTATGAAATATGGCAAGATTTGTTTTCAGTGTCACTATACCAAACAATTACAAGGGAAAATGCAAATACACATGCAAATAAGGCACCAGCTGATACTGCTGCACAGAGCATTGCTCCTGTTGTCACTCTGCCTCCAGGAGAGCAGTTACCAGGCCTGGGGAGCGGGCACAGGGCGGGCTGGGTTCTGGATAGCCCAGATAACAGATGCATTGCAAGAGAATTTTGTGTGATTAAATTTCAGCATTTTATGTTTGTCCCTCACCCGCCATTTCAACGGTCTGCAAGGTTTGAGTCGGGTCCAAAAGGTAACCTCTCACCCAGCCCTCCTGCTCTGCCTCTGCCCCACTGCTGTTTGTCAGCCAGAACACAAACCACTCAAGCTACTCAACAAGGAGACCCCACACACACATCATGGATTTTCTGCTGTCTCTCTCCTGTTATTGGTGCTATTTCTGTAATTATTGTTTCTGTAGCAATTTCACAGAAGAGCCCAGCTCTTCCAGGTGCAGCACAAACACTCAGCCAGGCCCTTTCTCCAAGGGGGATCTCCAACCCGTGGTCCCCACTCGGGGAGGGTGAGGCCAGAGAGGCCCCATGTCCTGTAGCCAGAGCAGGGAGCTACAAGAGAGAGATCCTGGCTTGCACTGTGTCTGCCACAGGCAGCTTTGGTCTGTACTCAGCCTGTCTCTGTTTCTCCACATACAACATCAAGATTGGGGTAATCCTTTGCCTCAACCTGGGTAGATGGTGAAGTGTAATTTTTACAGTGTCAGAGACCACCTTGCAGTAAGTTTTTCATTTAGCCCCTTTCCACAGCTCTGTGTTCTCCCCAGAGCTGAGATCCATCACACACCTAAACCCACCCAACCCCTCTCTGCTTCTCAGCTGCCAGGAGGGACCTTCGAGGTGGTCTCTTCATCTCCCACCACAAGTTTTAATCCTCATCGCTGCTGCTTACAGAGCTGCTGTGCTGGGGGAACAAATGGGAAACTGCTCCCTAAGCCACAGAGATTTACCTGCTGCTTTTCTGTGTTTCTGCCCAGAGAGTGAATGGAAAATGCCACGTTCCTTTTTGGTGAAGAGCAAAAAGGCTCATACCTACCACCAGCACCGCTTCGTGGAAGATGACCTGCCTGCACTCACGTGGGGCCCAGTGACCTCTGCCTTCACTGGTGAGTCAGTCCATCCACTGGGCTTGTAAGAACACACCAAATAAGAACAAAGCAAATCAATCACTGAGTAGGCAACTAAAGGAGTGGGGTGAGTGAGCTGGAGAGCATCAAAGGCCTCCACATGGGCACATCAGTCTGAGGACAAACCGATCCCTTGCTGTGCGTCCGCTCTCTACAGTAAATCCACAACCCCAAATTTAGATCCTCCCTTTGTTCCCTGCTCGGTTGCTGGGGAGATTTGAGATATAAGATTGCTGTGTGGAGTTGGTCACATTTGGGGTAGAAGGGCAATTTCAGGCCGCTAACAGCTGGGCAAAGAGGTTGTCAGTCTTCTGCAAACTCTTCACAACTCTGCCACCTCCATCTCCAGCTTCCCATGTTCAGTGCCCACATTCTCTCTGGACTACATCCTCTCTACCTCAGTGTGTTACCACCTCTTCCTGATGATTTGCAAGGAAGGCAACAACCAGAGTGAGAAAATATAGGGATACCCTAACACTGCCTGTGAGGAGTCCTACACACTCCCAGGTGAAGGGCCAGCTGCTCTATTGACACCAACCAACACAGCCTCTGCCTCTGCCTGCTGCCCTCCCTCTGCTCCTGTTCCTGCTCTCCCACAGCCATCCCAGCAGTGGCAGGGCTGGGCCAATTATCTTCTTCCTTCAGGCACCATTCAAATTTTCTTTATTCAAATCTAGGATCAACTTACTCTTTGTTCTAGCCCTGGCTATCAAATTCGAGTCCAACCCTGTGATAAGTTTGATAAAAAGGAAAGGAGGTGACATTTTAATGTCAATTCCTGCCATCATATTTTGACTATTGGTTGTGTCTGTTTGGAGGGTTTTGATGACAGATAAATGTTGTCCTTCAGCAGATCTGTCCCATCTCCAGCATAAAGGAGGCACATATGTTGAACCTCTGTCCATTTTAGATTCTTACAACAAAATCTGTTTTCTAAAAAGTACTGGTTGGTCTCTTTAAGGGCTGGGACAACATGAAGAAGTGGGAGTGTGGGCAGAAGAAAGTGAGGCTCAGTAGTCTTTGCGACTGCATAAGCAGCTACCTCCCCTCTCTGCTTCCCTACTTGGCTGTCCATAAATCCAGGTTAACAATACCCAGCTCTCTTAGGAGAGGGGTGGGGAGGTTAATAAGTTAGTGATTGTTAGTTACCCATGCAAATGGAAATGGTTTTAAATAGGGAAATTGTTCTTACAGATATATGGACTTGTAGTGTTAATCTGCTCTCACTGTAGAGGGTATCAGGTGTCCTGCCATCTCATCCTGTCCCCCTCTACCTTGCCAATCTCATCCTGCTTGGAATTTCCCTTTGCAATGGACAGACTTTGATTGCCCTGCTGATTGCACCACTCTGCACTTATTCAGGAATTGAGCACAGGCTCCTGTATCCTCATACAGGAGTGCAAAACTCACCTGAACAGACTCTCCTTGTAACAGCCAGAACCACCTGTGCCCCTGCTCTGTGTTACAGCCCCGGCAGACAGGACACCAGAGGACATCAAGAAACAGGACCTGGAATGTGTGGTTCCAAAACAAGAAAAGGACCCACCTGAACTGAAGGAAGAAAGTGTCCCTGTCCAGTACCTGAGCAGGATGCTGCCAGGCCCTTCAGCCCAAGGTCTGCTTCCCAAAACCACAATTGCAAACGAGGTCAGGGCTGGGCTGGCTTATGGAGCCCTAAAACTGGGCCCAGATTTTCAGTAAATGGCAGCTCTTACTTTAACATCAGTGGTCAAACTTGTCCCAGGCAGAGCTCATCAGGAGCATTCTGTATTTCCCTTTACAATTCTGGTCTAGATCAGCATCTCCCTGAAGGATGATTCCCAGTGGGTGAACCTCCCCATGCCAGTGCAGTTCTGTGCTCTGTGGTCAAGGCAGGTGTCCAAGTGTTGTTCAAACACTCCATGAAGCAGGGATAGTAGGAGGTTTAATATTCCTTTAGCCATAACATTTCCATGGCATTCTTTGCCATAAAATTTCCTCAGATGGGAATTAAACTCACAACAGGAACTTTTCATGGGGAATCAGGATTTGAATTGAGGAGCTGCCAGCTGGAACTCCCAAGGTCAGGCAAGGCATTTAATGGAGAAATGCTAGCTGGGGAACTTTTTTACTGGTGCCCAAGTTCAGGCAGTGGTGTGGCACTCACTTCTCCCTTTCTTCTGCAAACTCAGAGATGCCCATCCCAGCTCTGCAGATCAAGGACTGCACCAACACAACCACCCCTGCCTTCTACAAAACAGGCTTCTCTTGGGATGCTTTCCATGTGCCATACAGCTACCAGCAGATGTCCTCCACCATGCAGTCAGCCCTGCTGGAGCACCCTGTCAGCCTGTATGGCAGCCACCTCCTGCCAAGCTCCGAGCCCCCCCTGGACTACAGCATGCACTATTCCTCAGACATGGAGACCTTCCACTGCGTGAAGTGCAACAAGGTGTGTGTCACAGGAGAACCCCGGGGATGGGGAGGGCCTGCAGGGATTTTCACTGAATGTTGGGTCACACCAAAATGCAACAGGTGGCTCAAAACAGGTCCCCTAATCAGGAGAGCAAGTACAGAGGCACTGGGAGTGATGCAGGTCACGTGGCCCACGAGAGGAAAAAAATCAAATAAAGAGAAGGAATTGAAAACAGAGGTGGAGACACAGCCACCTCACGCCAAAAATGATCCCTGGCATTTTGTTTTGCAGGTATTCTCCACTCCCCACGGACTGGAGGTCCACGTCCGAAGGTCTCACAGTGGGAGCCGGCCCTTTGCCTGTGAAGTGTGTGGCAAAACCTTTGGGCACGCTGTGAGCCTGGAGCAGCACACCAATATCCACTCCCAGGTGGGCAGGAGGTGTCCAGAGAGCCAGCTCTCCAGAGCTCATGAGGGCTTGGACCTTGGCTGTTGCTTAATCCATCACAGAGGAAGTGCCATTTCCTCGGTTACAAACGTGGTGCCTTTCCGGTGGCACCCGGTGACAACACCGGGAGCTCTGAGGACCACAGATCATAGATCTTGGCCTCACAAATCTCAGACTGTCCTGGAGAATTCCTTGGATGGGAGGGGAGGATCGTTGCTGCTTGTTCTTCTGTGCCTCACCTCCTCCTAAAGGGTGCAGGAGTTTGGATCACAAGATGTAATCCATTTCCATAAGTAACCCTCCTGCATTCCCTTTGTGCTGCTCCCAGCATATCAGTCCAGGAGCCAAGGAGATTTGCTTATCAAATCTACTATTCTCATCACTCTTCAGGCTCTTGTCACATGTCTTGCAGCCTCAGACATCCCATGATTTTCCTTCCCCAACAGGAAAGAAGCTTTGAGTGCAAGATGTGTGGGAAGACATTCAAACGTTCCTCCACCCTCTCCACTCATCTGCTGATCCATTCGGACACACGGCCCTATCCCTGCCAGTACTGTGGCAAACGCTTCCACCAGAAGTCGGATATGAAGAAACACACTTACATCCACACTGGTGAGAAACAAAATATCCCCAGTAGGCACACTGAGGTTGGAGCACACACATAGTCACCAGACACAGCGATGTTGGAGCAGGGTTAAGTCCAGAGGCACTGGAAAGTTGTTATTCCTCGTGTGGTAAGGTGGCAGGAGGTCAAAGCATCCCTGGGATGCACGTCCTCCTCTGTGTGACAAGGAGTGCTTATTGACCAGCCTCTGGCACATGGCATGGTTGTCCCCAGCCCTGGATGCAGGCAGGGCACGGATCAGCCAGATGGAGAAGGCTGCCTCTGGCTCTTCCCACTCTCACAATCCAGAGGTGTGTCCAGGACGGCTGGGCTGGCAGCACCCTGATGCCCAAGCACAGCCAGTCGGGTCTGAGTCTGCTGAAGGCCATTTCTACCTCCTTTCTCTCACCTGTTAAAGTGGTTTTTTCACCATTTTCTGTGCCCCTGCAGGTGAGAAGCCCCACAAATGCCAGGTGTGTGGCAAAGCCTTCAGCCAGAGCTCCAACCTCATCACCCACAGCCGCAAACACACCGGGTTCAAACCCTTCAGCTGCGAGCTCTGCGCCAAGGGCTTCCAGCGCAAGGTGGACCTGCGGAGGCACCGGGAGACCCAGCACAGCATCAAGTGAGGAGGGGGCTCCAGGTCTTTGCTGGAGCTCCCACTGCAGACTGTCCCCAGCATCTCCATCCAGTGTGGGACTCATATGGCATATAACACTCCTGTGTTCCCCTGGGGACTGGCAAAGTCATGTCATTCCAGGGCCTTGCACATCCCAAAGAAACCTGGGGAGGGGGGGGAGGGTCCTCACTTTTCAATTACAGCAGGTACCAGCCCGGATCTGACATCACCCACTCAAGTGCAAATCCAGAGAAGTTCCTCCAAGGTCACTGTTACTCTGCATTGACACCGTGTGCAGAATCCAGTTCTTTCAGGCTGCCCAGCAGTGAGGTGGGAACTCCTGGGCCAGTGGGAGCCACAACCTGTGCCAAGCCAGTGCTGTAACCCTGTCCTGCTCCGATGGCTGGGAAGATAAGGCCAGGCCATGCAAACAGACTGCGTTCAGTGAGCTGTGTTCAGCCTGGACAGGGCTTCTGCAGAGACTTGCCCAGGCCATAAATTCTGCCAACAGACACCTAAAGTCATTTCTTTCAGCAGAGCATTTACTGTGATCAAATGACAAGTTAACTGTGCTGTATTTTTAGCTTGGAGTGGGAGGAAAATACTGAAGAAACAGCTCCTATCCCTAGCTGATAACAGGGGTCTCTAAATACATTCCTCAGACACACCACGCTGCAGAGATCCCTGGCTTGGTGGCAAGCAAGCAAGCTCCAGGAAAGGCCATGCCACAGCACCAGGCATGAGCCCCATGTCTTGGTGCTATGGGAGAGTCTGGCTGCTCTTGGAATCTGGGCTCTGGTATGTCCCACAACATTTCAGTGCATACCAACTTAGAGCTGTCCTGGGCAGTCCTGTGTCACTGCGTGGTCAGGACTGGCCCTTGGATATCGATGCCAAGGGCCAGGATCCTGCTTTCCAGCCCCTCTTGAAGGAGGAAGTGGCTGAGCCTGTACATGCTGGCAGAGTATGCAAGTACCTTACAAATATTATACAAACAGAGCAGTGGCATTTCCTCCTTCTTCCAGGTCCAGGGGGTGAAGCAAAGCTCTGGAACAAGTAAAGAACCAGTTCCACTCCAAGCTCTGCTACATTCTATCTCTCTAACCTTTGGCAAGTCACTGCACTGGGCTTTTGTTTCTCCCCCCCACTCCTGGTGACGTGGGGTCATTCTCTCAGGTTTGTGGAGTCCCCTGAGTTCTTAAAAGGAAGGACAAAGTATTATTATAACACAAATAAGGCAAGTGCTTCCACTTAAGCAGGGCACTGTAGCAGCACACAGCTCACTCCATAACTACATCCCTGAACACACGGCCTTGGACAATGACACCAGTGGGAATTACCCTGGGAATGGGCTGTGGCACAAACCATTTCACCCCAAAGGTTTAGGAGGGAAGGCTGCCACAGTGGGCAAAGACAAATGGTCCAAGTGGAAAATTCATGCACTGCCAGGAGAGAAGAGATGTCTGTCCTGCCCTCAGTTACACTGCTGTAAATCCAAAATTATTCTCCTAAGACCTAAAATGCACTTGCCCTTGTTTTATGCTGTGCCTGAGCTGTTAGTTATTAATATGCATTCTGGAAGCTCAAAACAGAGTCTGTACTCCTGGCTTTACTTGTACACTGTAAATATGTATTTATACTTATTGTAATGTATATTTTTATTGCTCTGTACCAGACAGTGACAACATGTAGAGGCCTGCTGGGATTTATCTGATAAATCTGTTCCCTCTCAGTAACTGGGCTAACAGAGTGCATTTCATGTTCAAAACACCCATTTCAAGAACGGCTCATACTTGGCTCTGGAGATGCAGGAGGTGGGGATGGGGTGGAAAATGAGAAGGGAAAGAGTATAGTGTACTATATCATATGGTTTGAGGGGAAATAAAGATGGAAATTCACATGCAGAGCAGGGCTGCCATCAGGGAGTGTTTTCATCCCTGGAGACAGATTGGTGCAGAGTCCCCCACAGGCCAGAGTCAGCTCTCCAGAGCAGGAGGAGCACCCCAGATACACAGGAATGTGTGTCCAGATGGTACCATCAAAGCCCCCAGTAAATCTCTGCTGTCCTTTCCTGAGTCATGCCAGAACCTGCTCAGGGCAGGGCCTCTGGGGAAGGTGAATGACCTGTGATGGAACTGGTCCTGGCTGTGGCACAGGCACACACACACACACACAGGTGAATACTCTCACACATGCACAAGCCTTGCTCAAGGTAAAGTCATTTCAGCTTATTAAAACCACTGCTCAAAATGCCATCCGTGCTCGTTGTTCCCCTTGTCCTCCACAAACCTGCAAAGAGAAGTGTTTAAAGAGCGTGTCAGCTGCTCAGGAGCAAATACCCTCCAGCCCCAAACCACACTGACACACCAGCACAGACTTCCCTGAGTGTGTCCTGGGGACAGCAGGGCTGTCTGACTCATGTGAAGCTCCCCAGTTTTGGCCATTCTGGAGGCAAGTGCTGGCACACACCACCAACCAGCACTGTGGCAAGAGTGCCTGTAAGAGCAGGCACAAAACAAAACCAGGCAGCTGGTTCTTTGGAGCCTGTGGAAGGAGGGCTGGAGCATCCCTCAGATATCCATCCCTATCTTTGGTTTCCATGGTACAGAGGAGCAAAAACCTTCAATGGGACAGCTGGGAGCTTCTCTCCTGAGCTATCCTGAGATTCCTGAAGAGCAGCTACACTGGAGGAGGCAGTGTCAGCCTCAGCCTGGTATTTGTGAGGAGCCTGGTGAGCACATCCAAGGACAGGCAGGGACTGCTTTAGATGGACAGGCAACAAGTGGAGAAGCAGACTGGGATGGCTGAAGGTTGTGCTGCTGCAGAGCTGGGCTCAGGAAAACACATCTGTGGGCAGAGCAGTGCAGGGGATCCAGGCTGGCCCCCTCCCACGGGCACTGGGAGCGTATCTCCAGAAGCACAGGCTGTGGATGGAGTCCAGCTGGCAAAGGCACCAGCCAGACAGCACAGCCAGAGCCAGGAGGTGACCCGAGAAGGGAGGAGGAGGAGAGGGAATTAACTTGCAGCGTTTTCCCAATAAGACACTACAGTTTCTTCCTCTTGAGTAAAAAGGTGGCACTTTCAGGTCTCCAGGTAATGCTGCCTGAGCCCTGACCTTCCTTTAGGCCTATGGATGCCACCAGCCCAAAGGAAAAACAAGGCAGAACCCACAGCCCCTTGTTCACTGCAATCCCTGATCAAGGAGAAGGAAGAGGATGGAGGGATCCAGTCTGACTCTGTTCTGGAGCAAACAGTTCTTTTGCAGGCTTTGAACACCTGCACTCCTGAAGCTCTGGAATGCAGGTGAAGGAGCGAGGAAGCAGATCTGGCATTACCCAAACCTCACCACACCAGGCTGGGGGAGAGCCTTCCACTCCCAACACAACATGGAGTGGGCAAAGGGCTGCCCTGACCCTTGGAGCTCCTGAATCCACACAGTGGCTACCCAGGGATGCCCAGCACCAGTCAGGATCAGGGCGTGGATGTTACCAACTCCAAACACACATGGCCTGGCTCTCCAAATGTACAAATCCTGCTCAGTTCTGGCCACTCTGATACAACCCCTTTCTCACCATCTCCCCTCGCATCAAAAACATTCTGGTCAGTCAATCAAGGAAACAGATAACAAAAAGCAAAATCTCAACTAATCTTTGTGGCTGAAGAAAGAGCTGATTGTTTTTGCCTCACTCCGAGCCCGCCCTGTATCCTGCACTTCCCCAGTGCTCTTCACACCTTCTTTACTTTATTGAAAATCCTGGTCTTTGGGCTGTTTTGTTTAGCAAATGAGGCACATGCAAAGCAATAACCTCAGGCATCTGGCAGGAGGAGAGAGGTGTCTCTGCATCTTCCAGACAGCCTTCAGGCACTGAGAGCAGCAGCCCAGAAGATCTATGATCAGGGGTGGATTTAAGTTTGGACACAGGATGCATCTTTCTCCTCCTCATGAAGGCAGAGCCACGGGACACCTGCAGGAAGCAGAGGTGTGTTCCCAGCTAGCACAGCGTTAGGCTGGAGCTTATTTTCAGGTTGTATCAGCCTCATGGAGCGGAATCCTGGAGAAGGCAATGGTTTAGGGAAGGCCTTAAAAGAACTGAGAGGAAGGACAGGGAAAATTAAAACTCCAGCTGGGTATAGGTTCTGTTGGGGGAAAAGGGTTATTTATTGAGCCAAGTTGTTTCCCGCCTTAGACTTCAGGAGAAAGTGTTTTCAGTGAAAGAAAGATAAGAGCAGAGTCCCTTGTCCTCACAGCAGGTTGTTCCCCCAGTTGTAGGTGATGGAGACACACCAGCAGGTTAATTCCAGCCCATCAGCACAGCACACAGGGAGAAACCTGAAGGCATTAGGCAATCTCCCAGAAACAGCTGCACACACACGTTTCCTTGTGCAGGGAAATGTTCCTGCCTGTCATTAAGGGCCTGACCTGGGAATGGATATGGAACTCAACCTGCAAAGCTGCTACAGCAAAATTAAAAATAGTGCATCATAAACCAATTTTTAACACTTATTCTGCTCACAAAACAGAGATGTTTTTCCCCTTTTTCCTCTGGAACAGCACATCCACCCAGAGAAGACAGCCCAGAACACCAAAATTCTCCAAAGATAGGTAAATCAGTCAGTGGCCTCTATGCTGGGTAAGACCTAAGAAAACACAGATCCTGACCCACCATCTTACAGCTGACAGTCACCATGGACACACACACTGCTCTTGAGGCTGCAACTCCGAACTGAGACTTGAGATGTGCCACACATTTCCTATGTGACTTCGGGCAAGACACGAGCACTGGATTTCTGAAGTTGTTCAGCACACTGTGGAGCTCTCAGAAGCTCCACATCTGTGAGAGGAGGATAATAATTCCCCCTCTCCCCTTCATTTCACTTGTTTATTTCAACAGTGAGATATCAGGAAGGAGACTGCCCCTCCTTATCTTCCACATCCAGCACCTCGCACAATGGAGCTCGATCTGGGCTGGGACACCCGGGTGTGACTGTGATAACGAGTGATAGAAACTTAATTCAGCAAAGCACCCCAATTCCATGGCTTAGAAATCCTCCAACAGGCACAGTGAGACCCTGCATTAAAACCACTCAGCTCCAGATGAGCGGAGGAACAGGGCAAGCAGCAGCTCCAGAGAGGATAAACCAGGCATGA